ACAAGTCAATTAACGATTTTGTCTTTAACCAGAGAAACATGTCAGAAAAAGAAGTTTCGGGATATCGCTAAATTTCGAGAAGTACCAGCCTCCATTTTTGATCTCCATAGTGTAAATAAAATTTCGATGTGTTCAATAGATTCGTATCATATACTATGAATGAACTAAACTAGACACCTAACTACATCGACTGACCGGTGCTGATTTTTCAATTAAGCCTTTATTAGTTTTCCAGGCAACCAACAACCTGCGAAACCCGAAAAAGCCTTCCGAATTTTCTAAAAATCCTCAGTTTGATAAAAAACTAAGACCTAATTCAAAAATCGACGCCGGTGAGTTGGGTTTGGTGGAAAACGTCGAAAATGAAAATGTCGAAACAGAAAAATATGGAAAAGTAAAAATGTCGAAAGGGAAACAAATATTCCTACTACGCTATGACGTAGTTTCTTTTTCTCTTTTAAACAAAAAAAAGAATGAACTCTCTACGACAAACCGCTATTAAAAATCTTGGGACGCACTTCAGGCGTAACTCTTATGTAGCGAAAACGCTGTGTTAAACGCTGTATGAAATAGTCGATTTTATGACTTTTAGGAAAATGCCTGTAACTTTTCGATGCAAGGTCATACAGAGTTGTGCGAAGTCTTATTTTGATCAGAAACGTTTGCTCTACAAAGCTGTGTTTTCAAAAAAATTTTAATTGCATAAGTATCCAGAAAAAAAACATTATTTGAAGACTCGTTTTTTCGAGGCTCTTAGAAAACTTGCTCAAAATCCCAGAAAAACCACTCTTGTAACCAAAAGCAATACAGATTCTGGAAGTAGACACTTCAGGCTATCTTTTCATGTGCGTATCTCAAAACCGATTTTTTGACCGAAAATCACCATTTCTGAGGGGAGGGCCTTAAGAATGACAGTGTTAACACATCAACAAGAGCAGAAACTGCTAGTTACAGAAACTGCTAGTTTTTGAGTGAGAAGTTCTCACTCATGCTGTGCTCTGCTTTTGCAGAACAGCGAGGCCACATAACTCTTCCATCAGAGTGAGATTCCGGTACGAAACTCTTACATTTTCTTTTTATAGCTTTCTAATAAAAGGACCTCTGAATCTATGCAACATCTGAAGAAAAAGCGAGTATTCTTTTCTAAAGAGTAGCGTTTGATATTTATTTTGTATTTCTGAAATAAAAGAGCATAGACAGCCAGGAGGCATCTCAGTTAGTTCACAAAAGTTTTTTCTACAATTATAGACGTTGCGTTGCATAGATTCAGAGGTCCTTTTATTAGAAAGCTATAAAAAGAAAATGTAAGACTTTTGTACCGGAATCTCACTCTGGTGGAAGAGTTTTCTGTGGCGTTACTGAGATGCTGCAGTTCTTAGTATTGATTTCTTCTTGATACACTCACAGTTTTAGCAAATACTGCAACATCTGGTACTTGTAATGGATTGTCAGGTAACAATAGCGATGTTCGTTTTATCACTTTGTCATTCAATTCATCTGACATGTCTTTCGTTACAACAAACAAACAAACGTTCAACAGTAATGGGATAATCGCAATTAGAGCTGCCAAGTACAATGTAAATACTCGAGAATACGTCACCGTTATGGAATATAAATAATTGAAGAATGAATTTCCAATTGCAGTCAAGATCGTGCTTGTTCCTGCAACGAATGTATACGCATTATTGATCTCATGTGGTTCGAGAATTTTGGATATTAATGTATAGACTATGGTAGCTAAAATAAACAACAAAACAATTATTGAATTTAAAAAGCTAACAGAAACAATTTGAGTTATCATATAAAATTTAGAGATAATAAATGAAAAATCAAGCTATGGATATGAGCATCCAGACGGAAATTTAGCAATATCAATTGATAGATTCTTCAAAATTGTTTAATAATCAGCAAAATTTTCGAAAGTATTGTGGTTATATTTTACCTTGATATGTTGTGAGTGGACCTATAAACAATCCCAGATACAGATGCCAATCATATTTTGCATAGGACGTCCACAGTACATTAACAATGAAACATACGTGACTAATACAGCAGATAGAAGAGTCCTGCCATCTTAATATGGTAAATAATTCCATTCCAGCAACGCTTAAGATTGACCATATTATTGATTGAGTAGTATTGTAATAGCCGATCTGCTTTGATGTCCAACAAAATGGATAGTTTAATTGATACCACAACGATGGAACACCTTAAAAAAAGTGATGAAATAGTTAATGTGCAAGATAGCATTTTTTTTGGTAAATTATGAATTAATATGAGAGGATGTGTACAAAAAATGCGTCGTTTTTTCAGCTTACCCGTCTGTAAAAAAATATGAGTCTTCTCTTTTCTCATGGAACAAAATAATCATGAATCAGATTACGTAACATACTTGATGGTTACTCAATCTGCATGCAAGATGGTGGCATGGACACATATATACAGAAGTTACTAACGATTCAATACCGCTTCAGTGGAAGAAGCAATTATGTCAAGATTATAATGGATTGAGCCAATGGTATATAGAGTTTGTTTATTCAAAATATTGTAGAGCTTTTCAAGAACTATTTTCTATACTAAAGACTAATTGCATCCTCTCTTATTTCTGGAAGAAATTAGAGTAAATATGATCGCTCAATCATTGTCACTATATAGAAGCTGTTCGAAAATGAACTATTTCTCCTTGTTGATATGTTGCCTAACTATGGTTCAAAAACTATTTTCCGCAGATAAATTAATTTAAAATTTCTCCGTAAGCTTATAAGGCTCAGACGAACTTAAAAATGTGTAAAGTCGTTTTCTTTATAAAATTTGATCAAAATTAAGTCGAAAAAGCAGTGGGCTAAATTAACGCAAAATTGATCCTCCTCCTTTCGGGTAGAAAATTTTCTGGTATTTTTTTGCGTTAAAACACACATATACACACATTCTCTCATATACACTTACTAAATGAAAGACCAGCAATAACATGAAATACGTATGCAAATAATGTTAAGTATAGGCTTAATGACTTCTTTCGTGTTCTTGTATCTGAATGAAAAACGGTGATTATGTCTGACAATCTTTGATTTGATGCTGCTGTAGTGGTGGTGGAATTAACCGTTGAGGATTGTTGTTTCATAAATAGAATAATAATTCCAATACATAACAATTGTAAAAATAATGCCATCCAATACAAATCTCTATAACCTCTATATTCAATCCAGTAGCCAATACTGACGCATGCAACAGCTGAAGCAATCGTCGACAAAGCTCCCAATCGAACAAATCGGGATGAACGTTTATCTTCGACAGTTGATTCAACTATCAATAAATTCAAAATAAATCCACTCACGCTATTGCCGCCTGTGAGACTTGCTAATACAGCTGCCACATACCAATAGACATTAGATAAATGAAAATAAATGATCAATAACCAAATAGAATATTGAATACAATTACCAACCATCGTTAAGATCAACACAAACTTTCTACCTGAAACGAGTACATGAAGAATATTAGAATCCTCTACCATACCGTAGAAAATAGAGTAATACTCGACTAACATGGGTCATCTACGTAAAGTCTTCCATCGTCTTATTACCCAATTTATTTGTATATAAACCAAGTAGATACGTCATCACAATTGTCACTGGACTACTGAATAAATTTTGCCAAAAAAATAAATTCGACGATTGTTGTTGTGCGAATTCTTGCTGAATCGATGAATGTTCAGTTCGTGGGCATTGTTGTTCCTGTAACGGACTCGATGGTATGGTAGTGGATGTTAAGTTAGTTAAAATAGATCCGGATGGGGAATGTTCCGAGTAAGAATATAAATAATAATTGTAGATATATTGTCCAATTGTATAAGCTAAGCAAAGGTAAAGGGTTTGTAAAGCATAAATAATTTCGATAAGATAGTTATTGAAAAAGAATTGAACCCGACGACGACACCATAAACAAATATTGAAAAGTATCATCGTGCTATATGAAAATAAAAGATAAAACTTATAGTTTCAAGAGAGAATAGACATACGCAGAGTTTTATGATATGTTCAATGAGCAGTTTTAATCCTCTAAGAAAGAGATAAATCAGCTTTTTGAAAACAAAATAATTAAGTAGTTTATTGTTGTTTTGAACAACAAGTCAATTAACGATTTTGTCTTTAACCAGAGAAACATGTCAGAAAAAGAAGTTTCGGGATATCGCTAAATTTCGAGAAGTACCAGTCTTCATTTTTGATCTCCATAGTGTAAATAAAATTTCGATGTGTTCAATAGATTCGCATCAGATACTATGAATTTTCTACTGACATTTGAATATAGGAAAACAACGATTAAACAAATATTGACAAAAACAAAGTTTGCTTAAGAATGACAATATTAACACATCAACAAGAACAGAGCAAGACTGGGATTAGAATAGAACAATATAACAACCCCTATTGACTAATTATCTCAACAGTTAGATTCACAATAATCCATTATAGAAACTGCTAGTTTATTTTACAATTGTATTTAATGTGGTCCTGCCGTTGTAATTTATGTCTACTATGATGATGTTCACTTAAATTTTAGCGAAAACTGACTCTACTTAGAACCACAGAATATATGGATAGTTTCAATGTCATTACTGTTTATACATAATCGATGGTCATAGTTGTTTTCCTGTGAAACTCTAGTAATGAAGTCATATTACAATGAAAATGCTGATTTTTTAAACATACCAAAAGTTACATTCTAGTGTAAATATAAGTTTATTTATCGTTTTTTCATCAGTAACATGCTTCTTCCGTTTTATTAACAATATAAAAGTCTAAACAAGCTAAATTGTAACAAATTAAAAAATAAAATATTTACTGCTAAAAAAGTAACTAAAAACGCTAATGACAAGTGAAAATAAAATTTAGTGTCTGTAATAGTCAAATATAGTAGATTTTTTCAGTTAAATATTAAAACATTTTGTCTAAGTATTAAATATGTTAACTTTGTTTGATTCATGATCGAATTTTGTTAATAATTTATTATATATTTCGTCGATCATGAAATTTCTAAAAGTTGATCATTCTGGAAATATATCACGATTATATTGAAATAATAATTAACTTTGACATGCCATATATTTAGTTGTTGTTGTTGTTGTTGTTGTTTTTATCATATACAATGTCTAACTTGTTGATATTTTATGGATTTTCGTAATAGAAATTGTAAACCATTTAAATTTGGAGTTAACAGTAGTAAATGTTTTACAAATTTTATAATACTTTTGGCTATTGTTTAACTTGAAGAATTTACCATGGATAAAATCATGAAGATATTCGATTACTTTTAGTTTACTCAGACGAGAATTATTGTTAGACCGGTAATATCACAAGAAAATGCACGAAATTTATCAGATGGTAATGTTCACTGTTAATATGATGATAGTAGCAAATATTCTTGTTGAAATAATGAAGATATGATCAGTCAGCAAAAATAGAAGTAGAAAAGCTCGAAGGGTTTCTTTTTGACAATTATACTATACAGTATATCAACCTTTTTTCCATGTTTATGTCTACCGTTAAGTATCTGTCGCTTTGGAAAACATACTGGAATTCAATCCTGCTCTAACCATGGCCAGTGAATATGACACTTGAATTCTTCAACCAGCAATAATTATCATAATAGACGTTGATCCATTGTATGGATAAAAATAACAAGATTTAATAATGAAATGTTCTAATAACCCATGAATGTAAAATGCCGCCTCAAATAGCATTCGGATACTTAAAATAAGGCGATTGTTTTTTCGGTTGGTTTTAAATAACCAAATATAATACTACTAAATACAGTTCATTGGACATGGTAACATGTTATTGCCATTTGAATCGAAAAGTTTGCTTGAAAAATCTTTTTAAAATAATTAAAATGATTTAGTGTATTCTAGAAAGTAAGACAGTACTTATATTCTTCATCCAACTAGTTTATCCACGATATCCCATTTAGGTTCTTACCAAATTCTGCTATTAATATCGAGATCTTACTAAATTCAGACGAAAAATTTTGTGAAGTATTCATCCAAACTTTTGATTTTCACATTTAGAATAAAATTTCAGATAAAATGATTTATTCATGTATCCATCTCACACGTACCAGTCTGTTAACGGTCACCCAAAAAACGACTAACGTCTTAAACATCTTATCTATGACAGTAGCAAAAACCTTGAAAAAGTATAAAAAGAATACTTCTGAGACAAAAAGTCAAAAACAATTAGTATTAGAAAACATCTCCAAAACAGTTCTTTAACTGATCTCTGGTGAATTGCAAAAATGTTCACATAAAAAATATGCTCAGTATTTTTACTGTGTATGAAGAATTCCTCGTTCATGACAGTTCGCACAAAAATGGTGCTTTGTCTTTCATTTCTAACATAACAAAAAAAAGTGTGTCCGTGTACGGCTGTAAATTGTCATCTAGAGATATACGATTAGAATAACAAAACATCTAAAGATATCGTAGGATATCTCAAAGCATATAAAAGCACATCTAGACCAATCAATTTCTTTTATATGTAATTAAAGTTAAATAAAACGTAAAACTCTTTGTCTTTATTATTCAAAACACTCCTCACTTTAGTTCTTTGTTTCCTTCGTGTGTATTCTTTCTCTTCGGAAGTGTTCTCACTTCACTTTCAAATTCGCTATTTTTTGTCTGATTCATTTTCTGTCTCTCTCAAAAAATGTAGAAAATTGATATAGTATATAATAACCAGCAGAGAAAGTTATTATAATTATCTTGTCTTATGTTCATGAAATGGCGAACATATAAGAAGATCAAAAATAAAAATTGAATTGTAGCTGATAGAACTTATTGAAATAACCTGAAAATATCCATTGTACATACAACTTTGAAGAGAACTTCATCTCTCACACACATCTGACATATCCGAAGTACGTACACAGTAAATTCAGCTCTCTGTTCCCTTATCTAAATAGGTCTCATTTTCACTAGTTTAGTAAAGTGCCTTATATAACAGACACTGTTTTTAGTCTCGTTTAAAATGAGAAAGTATTGTTAAGACGAGATAGTGGGTCATGTCTCGACGAGATTTAGTGGAGGGCCATTAATGTCAATGTGTTTTAGTATCGAAGGAAAAAGTAGCTCATATTGAATACATCTCAAAGGTAATGACAACTCTTTTGCGTCTTAATAGTGAAAGTTGTATTTCTGAAACATTGTATTACACGTCTTTAATCTATTTTGATTGACGTGAATTTTAAAATAGCTCTCGTTACGTTGTTGTTCATACTTAAATTATTATCCCTGAACAAATTTAATGTGACAAATAAAAAATGTTTCTGTTTTTTTTCTTTTAGCTTCAAATATTATCTCGAAGAAGATACTATCTACGTCAATTTGCATTTGATCCTAGCTCCTTGGAACTAAAGGAAAGAACGCACATGTAGAGCATGAAAACTACTGTTGAAAATATGACTGGTTAAGCTTTCTTTCTTGTGGCTAATGCGAATAATAGATGACTCTACTTCTAAAGCTATAATAGATCACACTAACTATCGATTAAAAAACAGAAAAAGAGTATTCAAGAATTGAGAACAGAATTAACACACTTACTTAGCAAAATAGATTAAAGCAATTATGATTTTAGTCATAAAAAATCTTATATAAATATTACCATGTTGATGTGGAAAGATCTGAGTATTTCTCTAGGTAAAAATCATCTTACAAGATCTGCCATTTTCTTATGAAGTCTTGAGACAAGATTTTACTGCATGATCTTATAATATCTTGGAGGTTCTTGTAACTTCTGGTCGTAAGGCCTTACAAGATCTTGTAAATTCATATCGGTGAGAGTGTGGACTAATATTTATTTATTTCTCACAAGATCATACGATTTCTTGTTACAGGATCTTGCGAGAAGCTACGATTCATTCTTACCGCATAAATTTTGGTATAATATATCGTATAGATAAAGCATTGGTCTCACGACGGAACCTTACATATCAGCTGAATACAGATAACTGCGCAGCTCTAAGGGACGTGGTGAGACACGATTTTAAGTACGTAACGATCCTACCTATGCTAGAAATGATTATGAAAAGAAAAGGATATTTTTTCAAAAGAGGGGTCTATTGAACAAGATCAGACACATAGTCCTATAAAATCTGGTGAATGATCTCATGAGATCCTCACACTTCTTGTACGATCATTCAAGCTCTATTCACAAGATTTGGTGAGATATTTTGCAAGAAAAATCTTACGAAATCTATACAAGAATCTTGCTTGCAGATAATTCAGAAATCTAGTAAGATCTTGTGGAAATTTTACAAGATTTTAGATGATCTTGTGATATCTTCAAATATGGTCTTGTAAAATCTGATGAGATTATTTTTCAAGATTTTTTGCTCTGGATAGCGTGAGTTGATTCGATAATAAAAATAACTCACGGTAAGGTAAGAAGATAAGTGTGTCCGTCTTATTTTAAGAGAAATTTTTTTATAGTGTAAACATAGGTTTTGTCTGCACCCAAGTTTCGAACGAACACCTCCTTAGTCAACTTTGATTACCTCTTTCTCTTTGACAAGTATTCTATACGGACATTTTACACTTCATGTGAAAGAGCAAGTCAAATTCTACTATAGTCACCAACAGCGAGCTTTTCAAATGCATACAGGAGTGGATACAAAATGGCAAAATACATAAAAAACTTAAGGCTCTAGTCTGAAGAGACTGCAATAAAACGTTTGCATATCTTAGATAAAAATGAAGCAACATTCATGCTTGTTCGAATGATGCACGAATCAGCTTTCTATGCCTTTCGTTTTTGAATGGTACGGCCAGCCCATGTAACGGTAGATTTTTCTGGCGAAGTTTTATACATAAACATGCAAAAATAAACATATTCATGCTGGAAAGCGTTATGATTTTCACACATTAGAAGACTGATTGTATGTTCTGAGCTAATGCGGCTTACATCAGAAGCAAATAATGCTCCAGCAAAGAGATACAAAGTCCTAAAAAGGTGATTCCGTCACGCCCCTTTTTCTGGCTAGAAAACTGAATTTCAATATTTTTCAAACTGGATGCATTGTTAGCTAAGAATGCATGAAACCCGTCTATAGAGCAGGTACTCTCACATATTCTATAAAAAATTTGGGCCTTATTCGGTTTGATTTCACCGAGATACCGAAGAAAAAAACGTGATTTCGTGGTGCTGATCTGTCGCTTCGTCCGCCGACTAACTATATTCCAGCAAAAGTTTCTATTTCTCAAGTTGATTAGTTGTTTATTACTGTTCTGTTTAGATAATTATAATTCATATGAATTACCCGACGATCATATTGAGTCATCACATAATCGTCACGATCAATCTGATTATTACAAAGTTTGTAAAGTATTGTTGTTCAACGTCTAGAAATCGTATTAGATTAAAATGATCTATGATGGGTATTTACTACCTAAATTACTAACAGACTCTACAACGGTCCACAAACTGTTGCCAAATCAGTAAAACTGCAACTTTGGCATCCCTCTTAGAAAGCTTTTCTGAGAGAGTCGAGTGATCTAATGAACGAGATTTATATCTATTTGTGTTGATGTTTAGTTCAAACACAGATGCTTATTTCTGTCATTTATTTACGAAATAATATCATCAACGAGTAATAAGAACATGCATAAACATTATTTACAGTGCATTTCGTTTACGAAACAAACATAGTAATAAGAGAAAAAAAAGAGAAAAATTTTATACGCACGCACACACAAGAAAGAAAGACGATCTAACAAGCTACAAGAATACGAGGAGTTTTTAAACAGAAGAAAAATAAACAAACATCAAATGTCTATGCATTGATCATTCGTTGTTGGCTATAGCCCGATGAACGATATTTAATTGTTTCACCATCATCAGCTTCAATATTTGCTTCATCATCTTGAATTGAATCAATTCCGATCGGTTCAGCAATATCTATCTCTTCTTCTTTCGTTTCATACTCTTCATATTGCTCATTATTATAATAGGAAGATGAATCATGATCAAACATTTCTGATTTAGCTTGAAGACTAGCGTGCGAAGCTGATGCACCGGCACCAGCCACCGGAGATGAATCGTTATCATAATAATCAGATTGATCGTGACGATGATGTGATGACTCAATATGATCGTCAGCTAATTCATATGAATTATAATTATCTAAACAGAACAGTAATAAACAACTAATCAACTTGAGAAATAGAAATAGCGCACCTCTTTCAAGTTTGACAATAACCGGCGGTTGTTTATGATCATGATTTTGCCCATGTTGTTGTCCTCGAATTTGTATCATAGCTATTTGTTCATTATCTTGTAAATCATTATCATACGGATCAATATTATGTACATCGAATGTATGATGCTCTAATGTACGTAACGTCGCAAATGTTTTGGAACACAGTGTACAACGATAAATTTGATGTTGTTGATCCTTTGTTGTCTGACGTAAACGCGGTGTGGTTATTGGACGATGTTCAACTTTTGCTGGAATATAGTTAGTCGGCGGACGAAGTGACAGGCCAGCACCGGCAACATTGGCATACGTACCACAACGCTATATCAGATTAAGAAGAAAGAAATACGAGTTAAAAGATCCATCCTTTGTCTTGACTTTTAACGAAAAATGTTCTCTATTCCTTGTCGAAGTCAAAACTGATTGTCTTTCGATTATTTTATCGATATACTTACATGTACTTTTGTTGTGTGTTGACGTAAATCACCACGTGTAGCATACATCAAACCACATTCATTACATTGAAATGAACGTTCATCTGAATAAAAACAACTCAACTTTAGCACTTTTCTTAATGGGCTAGCTAATAAAATAAACTTTATTAGCTATTTTAAATGTCTTTTACCTCGATGTGTGTTATTCATATGTTCTTCTAGACCATTTTGTGTCGGTGCTGAAAATGCACACATGGAACACGCGTATATGGAACCTGATGACTGACCACCATGTTGAGTTTGTTCATGTTTACGCAATGAATGTCTAAAAGGAAATAAAAACGCAAAGATCAATACTTATGTTCTCTTATAGATTCTAAAGATACCGTACTCATTTGGGAAATCAAGTTCACATTGCTGGCAATATAATAAATGTTCATTTTGATGCTTTTTAACAATATGATGTTTTAAATCTGATTTTCTCGTCAAAATCGTCGGACAATATTGACATTGAAATTTCGGAGCATTGGTTTGATGAGTCAACATATGTGCTTTCAAACTAAATAGAAAGAGAAAGTGAATACTATTGTGTGTACACAAGAAAGCATCTCAATATACCTATTACTTTGAGTAAAGCGGAATTTGCATACTAAAACAAAAGCATTTCAAGTAGATTAATCAAATTCAAAGTTAACGCAACAGGGAAAAGTTCTTTTTCAAAAAAATGAAATGAACGAATGGAGTGTCTAAATATCACCATGCATAAATGTTTATGCGAAACAAACGGACACTTACTTGTACACTCATACGGTCGTTCCCCTAAAATAGAACAAAATGTAGGTAAACAGAATTCAATGCAAAAACATAGATGGAGATGGAAAAAAATTCAGCATAAAAAGATGGAGCATATGTAAATTTTAAAACAGAACATAATGTACTATCTGACAGTGCTAACACGAAAGATTAATTTCGAAATTTTGCTTTTTCTTTGCTTTCTGCTCAAAATAACTTAGTTTTACATAGTTGATTCTTACCGGTATGTACACGTAAATGTCGTTTGAGTTTGAATGTATCTGGACTTGCATAAGAACTAAATGAACCATATCCTATGATCAACTACAGATATAAATACTAAGAACTTACCAATATTGACAAGTGTAAGGTTTTTCTCCAGTATGTGTTCGAATATGACGACGCAATTTGCTTAATTCAACTGTTGCATAACCACATTCAGTGCCTGAGACAAGAAAAAACCAAATAATAAGTCAAATATACGAACATTTGAAAAAAAACTATTTTGCTGTATGAAAATGTGGTGCAAATAGTTCATGTCTAGAGGGGCAGTGATAGAATTTTCATTCTACTTCTTTCGAAAACTTACATTTATGTGGTTTTTCCAATGTATGTCTTTAAATGAAAGAAAGTGTGTTATTACAATACAGAAAATAATTAGTACAGATTGAGGTACTTACTTGTAACGAACATGTCTGATTAACTCGCCTGATGTTGTGAATTTATAATCACAAAATTTACATTGAAACGGTTTAATACCCAAATGAGTATTGACATGATTTTGTAACTGAGACGTTGTTTTGAATGCATTTGAACAATATGTACCTGGAAGAAACGAGAAAATAAATTATAGAATCCATCAATGCAAACAAACTAACTCATCGCTCACATTTATGCGGACGTTCTGTCGAATGTGATTTTAAATGCCGTTGTAGTAGATACTTCTTACCCGTACAGTAATTACTGTAAAAAAACATATAGATAGATATAAAATAAGAATACAGAAGTGAAAAGCAAAAATATTTACCAATACGGACACATATGTTTTGTATCACGATTTGCTTTCGGTTGTGGTTTAACATCTCTCCAAGCAGAATTAACGTTATTTTTTTTCTTTACTGATACTTCGCTAAAAGCAAAACATAAAGTAAGCAAAGAACATACTGGAAATCATTTTATTACACGTACCTAAAATCATAAACTGAGGAGTCAGCTATTTGACTTTGATTTGTTGTTGTGTTATTAAACGATGTTGATGTTGAAGCCACCGCATAATCATCAATTTCTTGACCATCATCTGCATCTCCTTCTTCTGTTTGTACTTGGGTCCATTCATCATCTATAGTCGAATCATTATGTCCACTTGCACTTGCTCCCTGATTCCCACGAACTGCTTTTTGTTGTTGTTGACTAAAACGCTCTTGTTTAATACTGAATGTACTTTCATTTGATGTTGGTTCTTCCTCAAAATCCATCGCTTCCTCATCTTCCCCATCAAGTGCCGGATCGACAAATTTTACAGCCTTTGTAGCTGGTTGGCGAGCAGAACGTCTAGTTGAAGAAGCCATCTGAAAAATAATTAAATGAACCGTAGATGACATTTCAAAGACATATAACGATTAAATATTTCAAGGTTGCATTTTGCGTCGACAGTGAAATTAGTAAAGATTTATTTTTAGTTACACAGTACACAGCAGACATCCGATGAAGTAGAGTTTACTCCAATACAATATCGGTTTTAAATTTCAGTTCTTGAAATCGAAACCAGTATTTCTAATAAGAACTTCAAACAAAGTGAGTTTCCAGAGTATACCATCGTATTTTCCATGTTTTTCCAGTACTGTCGGGGTAAACAAAAATTAAAATTTTGAGTAGAAACGTAGAAACCCATTTTACTCTTCTTAAAATTATTAATCATTAGAAATGCTGATCAAAACATGATATAACCCTGTTAGGTGTATACAAAATTCAATCTTATCGGCGATACGCATGATTAGTAATAGATATATTACCTCTGTAATTCAAGCTTTCACATTTTCCTGAGCGCATCATTGAACTGAACATTAATCATAATCATAACCTTTTAAAAGATACTTATTTCAATGCAATTCAGTCGACTTGACTGTTAGCTTGGCTCAAGAGAAGAGGAACAGAGAAAAAGAATTCTAAAAAATACTTGTTTAGAAACAATGCTGAACGCATATCAATCCCGAAGATTAGAACTAAATCATTAAACTATGCATAAAAATCATAAAATTGCGTTGATTGAAGAGCCTTATTCTTAACTTTCCCCCTAAGTATCTTCAACGCTCATCGATTAGCAACAACAGCACAGCTCTACAAAGGTCATTGCATGCATTCAGATGGACTGCTAATTAACAAATAAAACTGATTGGAAGAGGTCCCTAACTACAAGTGCATTAGCGACGCGAAGAAATCGAAGAAATGTGGAACATCTTCTCGGAAAACAAGACTTTAAACACCATATAGTGTGCTATCCTTCTAGGTATCTGAAGTTCGAAATTATTTGGCACTATATAGATGTCGCTCAGAAATGAGTGACAGAAATCGATTGTCGTCGTCACTGTCAAAGTCGGTGTTAGAACCGCATATGGTGCTATAATGCACAGTAAATTCTGCTAAAGCTAACTCATGTTTGAAATTCTAAACAGTACTAGCCAAAAGTACAGCGCACATGACAACTATATATATGATGTCGACATATGCGTTCAATAATTTTTCTTTCATAACTAGAACTCAGAGACGTAGTTACCAAAAGGTGGCCGGCCCCCCGGGTTTTAGAAAAGTTTATTTTTGCTATCGTCGCATAAAAATTTTTTTTAGGAAGAACAAAAATTTTTTTGGCAGGACCACCCCCCTGCTCTGAGATATTGGCTACGCTCCTGCCAGGATTGGCAACTACTTTCAAGCTGAAACTACATTAGCAGTCGCGATCGTTGGAAGAAATAAGTCTTTTATATTTATTTGATAGCTTTATTTACCATAAAATCAAGCCTATCATGTTCGACTTTTACAAGCACTTCAGGTAGCTCATTTGTTACTTTAATTATGAGTAATGGATCTTTCCAGTCACAAATGGCACATGTCATTCGAATAAAAAACAGATTTTTTTATTAAGTTTTAAGCATTTCTTCCATCGAAGAATTCACACTTAATTTTTAGTGCGTTAAGTAAACTAAAGATACCAGTATATGACATTTATGTCAAGTAAAGATGATTTTTTACGGATTTTTCAAAAAAGCTATTTTTACATGAAAACATCTTACATTCGCATGTGCTCACGGACTTTATCAGCCTGTGTTTCATTGATTTAAAATATTTTCGAACAAAAACATTTCTTTAAAAAGTATCTGAGAAGAATCTCAGGCTAAAATGTTTCACCAACCTTTCGATTCCAGAAAAATTTATTTTCACGATTCTGATCTTTGTTTTTGTGAAAAGAAAACGGCAAACCTTACTCTCTTTCGAATGAAATAGGTCTCAAAGCTTGCAGTAAAAGTGTGAGAGTGAGTTTAAAATAAGGTTTAATACTAAATAAACTACACTGTAATCTTGAATTAATTTCTAGTTTATAGAAAATCAACCGAAAAATCGCCGGGGATTTTCTAGTTTATAGAAATTCCTCGACGAATTTCCAGCTTTCTGGGAAATGTTGATTTTCTACT